TAGGCGTGACAGACATTTAAGCTGGTTAAGTTGATAGCAAATTAGTGAGATTCCTCAGGGAGATAGATCGATCCAAATATTTGTGGGAATTGTCCCTTAAACAGATTCACGTCATTAAGAAGGCTATTTTTAATCTTTAATGTAAATCCCTGTTTCATCATGACCAATGGGCAAGCTGACGGTGCACGCAGACGACCGTCCCGCGAGAATGGAAGACGACACAGTTATGTTGAGACGGGACAGACGACAGCAAATATTAAAGTTGTTTTTTAGTATATATTTGAATTCAGTAACTTATTCTTCAATTATGTAGAATGACATTTTAGTTATGATTAGAGCTAGTAGGTGACAAGCAACACTGAAAATGCGTGGATAGTTAAAACCCTTAACAATACTTTATAATGATTAAAAATGAGTTTACGATACCTACAGTTTCCAGCGATCAGTGGCTTCTCACAACATTACATGTACAATTTCTTAGATCAGAACCGGTTTTTAATTATTTTATTTTGATAAATTATTTTCACTCATTGAGTGTGTAAATAATTATGTTGGTATATTCTTTTTTTCCTTCATGCACTATTTGAGTGGCTTATTACCATTATTTTCATTTTAGTTGTGACTGTTTTTACTCTTTTCCAAATTTCTTTCTTACTTTCTTTCTATATTTTGTATGTACCGACATATACACATTATTTATATTTTTCCTTTGGTTCTTCTTAGGAGAGTTTATAATGCTATGTGCGATTTGCCTCCTTTTCTTTCTCTAAAATAAACCCTGTTTAAAAAATAGCTTCTCCCATCTGGTCCATTTCCATCAATTCTGTGGTAAGGCGAACCACCATGCTCAGACAGGATATGCTTTAAGGAAACTTTGACAGCTACGGTCGTTTATAGTTAGAAAAAGAAGTGCATATTATTTAGTATTGGATAATAAGTAACAAGTCATTGTAACTACACATGATCGTGCGTGTATATCGCAATGTAGATTCCGTTGAGTAGAGTTTTTAGAACAAACATCCCAGCTTTTAGAAATGATATTACAAGACAAACTATGCTTAGTAAATATATCATATAAATACCGAGCTTCGCGGTAATATGACGGAATATTTTCGGAATATATTCGGAATATATTCTCGGAAGATTTTCCGAGAAAAAATACTTGCAACGAAATAAAAATATTATAACTCGTGCATAGAAGTACTGATAACTAGTTATGAATAGAAGTATTGTCGAGGACAACCTCCCATCACATAATCCCAGCAGCTGAGTTGCTAACTGGTTGACATGTGTTTAAATATTTCAATACTTCTGGGGATAATGCGTTTTCTTTTGGCGTATTCACTGTCCTACGCCTTTAGTTAATTATCAGTGTAATTAAACAGTACTTTGATTTATGTATTTATTTTAATGGTATCTTATATTAAATGATATCTTGTACAGTTTCTTCTTTCTATTTCCCAACCTGTACATGTACATACTAGTGCATCCTTTTTAATTTATACATAACTGTTTCTTACTCTACCCTGCGCATGCACATGTAGTACGCACAGAGAATTAAAAGGGTTGGGGACAGTTTAAGAGGATGTTGAAGCAAATGTTTTGACTTGAATTGCAAAGCTTGCTTCATTTGTATTTACATATTTTTCTGTATTGGTCGATGTGATATAAATTGAAGCCTTTCACCTGGTTATTCAAGCTTGTATATGAGTAAAACACTTGTTTAAAATACTTATAATCACATCAATTGCACACACACATTAAAAATAAAATTAAATAAGCTGCTTAAGTTGATTGCAATTTAGGGAGAATCCTCTCAGAGATATATATCGATCCACTGTTAGTACCATAGGGTCTTGAAACGGTCCCTTACAGTCAATTATAAATGGTAGAAAACATCAGAGTGCAGGGATGGCTCCAATCAATTTATTTGTCCAAGGAATATTATTTAATATTTCAGACTTTTAAAACCAATGGTTTCCTTCACAAGCCCCCACTATTCAGAAATTGAACACGCACCCCCTCCCCCACCCCCCCAACACACACATAAGTCTCTCATTGCTGTAAAATAAACAGTCAAAACCTGATAAATTCCTCACCCATTGTTATATAAATCATTGTTATTGAATCTCATTAGAAGTCTATAATGTGAATAATTTCCTTTCCTCCCCCCCCCCCCAATCTTTTTCAATGTACTCATTTAAATCATTTTATTTAACATAACATTCATAAGTCTGTTTTTCACCCACAGATAAAAATCTAGGTTTTTAGAAAATACAGGTTCCCTTTGTCTCGGAGTTGCAGGAGAGTCCTTTGTTTCCATCACATTGCATAGCTCATCTTCACAATGGTCTACTGCGCAAAACTGAATTTTGTGGTTTTCAAAACTGCCATTTTAATGGGCTTTACAGGTAAACAACTGGCTACCCACAATGCACTGGGTCAGAAAGCATTTAGACGCAAGCTATCGCATCATTATGGTACGTTACAATAATTACTGGGGAAGGGTAAACAAAATAAGACACAAACACTCCAATCCAAACCATCTATTTCTATTGCCGTGTATATTAGTGATAAAAATTGACAGTCAAACAAAGCACCATAAACAAAACACAATAACTTTCTCTATGATGTCATCACAAAGATTAAAAGTTAACAGTTGCAACTTAAGGACAACTAAGAGCGTTGCTGGCAAGAATTTTCAATTCTGGAATGTAGAGAGGCAACATATAATGCAATATAAATGTTATAAAATAACTACTAATTCAACAGTTGCAACTTAAGCACAACTAAAAAATGTTCCTGGCAAGAAATTTCAATTCTGGAATGTAGAGATCGAGGCAACATATAATGCAATATAAATGTTTTTAAATAACTGTTTGTAAGTTAACTGACTATAAGGGGAGAAATCCCTCATTCAATAACATAAGCAGGCAAATGCCAAGTTGACTCTACATACACAGACATCTATAGGAGTATAGGCGCAGTTTCTCAAAGGAAATTTGAACCCAAAATTTGGTCTCGACTTTTACACCAAAATTTGACCTGCCTCAACCCAAGATAAATAGTCATCCACTTCATGAAGTACTGGTCTTAAACAATTGCTATTTTCTTGTTATATTAATACTGGGGCATTATTTCATTGACATGGGTCACTATTTATCCTGGATTAAAATGGACTAAAATTGTGATCTAAAATTTAATATCAACTACCAGGCCTAAATTCTATCACAAAGCAGGCTCTAGACAACTTATGTGCACTGACTCTAATCACAGCAATGCAGTATCACAGTAATATCTACATAAATAGGCTAAATAGCAAAAGCTGCACATTCTGAGAGCCTTCTCTAATGAAATAAAGTTTTTAACTAGTGAGGAATGCTCACACAACAACTCATCATTGAAAAATAATATTATGCCATTAACATTACAGAAAGCAAGTTTGAAAATGTTTCCCCTTGTCACAGAGCTGTTTTTATGCATAGAGGTAAATATTCAATAGAAAAGGCACAATGACACTGTGCAAAGTTTGGAGCAGTTTCACATATCACACCTGTACTTGTAGTTGTTCAGTATCAATAATACTAATGTATCAAATACATGGATGCTATAGAAAACAAATCAAAAAATCATCTGCATATTCATTCATCACATGCAAGGCAACATGTAAGTCAATTCTAGTAAAAATATCACTCCAATGCATAATATATTGGCTATTCAGAAAGCAAAGCATCAGTCCGATTAGCTTTATCGACACATATCATATTCCTAAGTTTGTGTAGCGGTCACATGACCCATGTCATCCCCAGTGTGGGACTACAATGGCCTGACGAGCAGGAAAGGGTTTGTAATCTATTTCTTAAACTATTACAACTTAACCACTTTTCCATTTGTGCTTTAATATATGGTGGCACAGTTGTGCAAAGTAGCTAAATTTTCCATTTCATAATTTCTGACATCAACTGCTACGTCAGGACCTTCTAATAGTCTTCCCTACCACAAGTAATACACTGTGTTCAAATGCGTAATTGAAATTAACTTGCTGGAATGTATTAAGTAACCACTATACTTGGTTTAAAAAAATTGCAGACATTTCAGTACTTGTTTGATTGAAGAAAAAAATGAACCCAGGAGACATCCAGGTTCACAGTTGCCATGGCTGGTTTCAAAACAGAGATGGTTGGTATCTTTGCCACCATTTAGTCCACATTTAACTTCTTAAACGTACCAGTGACACCACCAATGGCGTCGGCCTGGTTCTCCTCTTTAATAGGAACATACGACTCCAGTTCGTACTTGGCCATTTCCTTGAACTGCTCCTCTGATGCATACATCTTCTCAGTCCATGCCTGGAAGGGAGGGTTTTACATTTAACAAAATAAGAATAATTTTCAAAAAAGGAAAAAAAAACTGAGTGTGGAAGTATAATATGTTAGACTGTAAGCACATGCTATTTTACTACATACTGTACATGTATATTATTACAAACTAGAGAGTAGTGGTTACTCAGCAGATACCGACTATCTCCAAAAATATTCACTTAGACTGGGTTCCCATGCCGCGATCGATCCATCTGGATCGGTCCAACACCTAAGAAGTCTCACTAAATTGGTATCAGCTTAACCAGCTTAAATGTCTGTCACACCTACCAAATCAGCTAGGGTAAAGATAATTACCCCCTAACAGCTTTTTACTAGGGGTGTCAGACATTTACACCAGTTAAGATGATAGCAATACAGTGAGACTCCCCAGTAGGGAGATAGATCGATCCAAATATCTGTAGAAATGGTCTCTTAGAGACCTTTTATATAAAATTTACAGATTCGTGTAGATGTTGACTATTTCTAAAATGACAAAGACCACGTAATATCAATTGTGATCTGAATTTACAGATTCAGACCATTTTAAACACCCCAGTGAACCCATTACCACCATCAACATCATATCCAACACCACACTATACCTGGTGCTTGAACGGTGGCTGATCTCCANGGCAACATGTAAGTCAATTCTAGTAAAAATATCACTCCAATGCATAATATATTGGCTATTCAGAAAGCAAAGCATCAGTCCGATTAGTTTTATCGACACATATCATATTCCTAAGTTTGTGTAGCGGTCACATGACCCATGTCACCCCCAGTGTGGGACTACAATGGCCTGACGAGCAGGAAGGTGTGTAATCTATTTCTTAAACTTTTACAACTTAACCACTTTTCCATTTGTGCTTTCATATATGGAGGCACAGTTGTGCAAAGTAGCTAAATTTTCCATTTCAAAATTTCTGACATGAACTTCACCGTCAGGACCTTCTTAAAGTCTTCCCTACTACAAGCAATACACTGTGTTCAGATGTGAAATTGAAATTAACTTGCTGGAATGTATTAAGTAACCACTATACTTGGTTTAAAAAAAACTGCAGACATTTCAGTACTTGTTTGATTGAAGAAAAAAATGAACCCAGGAGACATCCAGGTTCACAGTCACAATGTCTGGCTTCAAAACAGAGATGGTTGGAATCTTTGCCACCATTTAGTCCACATTTAACTTCTTAAACGTACCAGTGACACCACCGATGGCATCAGCCTGGTTCTCCTCTTTAATAGGAACATACGACTCCAGCTCGTACTTGGCCATTTCCTTGAACTGCTCCTCTGATGCATACATCTTCTCAGTCCATGCCTGGAAGGGAAGGCTTTACATTTACAAAATAAGAATAATTTTCAAAAAAGGAAGAAAAAACTGAGTGTGGAAGTATAATATGTAAGACTGTAAGCACATGCTATTTTACTACATACTGTACATGTATATTATTACAAACTAGAGAGTAGTGGTTACTCAGCAGATACCGACTGTCTCCAGAAATATCCACTTAGACTGAGTTACCATGCCTAGATTGATTCATCTGGATCTGTCTATCTCCCTGGGGAGTCTCACTATATTGCTATCAGCTTAACTGGCTTAAATGTCTGTCACGCCTACCTAATCAGCTAGGGTAAAGATAATTACCCCTTAACAGCTTTACTAGGGGTGACAGACATTTAAGCCAGTTAAGATGATAGCAATTCAGTGAGACTCCCCAGTAGGGAGATAGATCGATCCAAATATCTGTGGGAATGGTCCCTAAACCAACACCAGCGTGTACCTTGTGATTGAACGGTGGCTGATCTCCGCCATATTCCTCAGGCATCAACTCTTTCGGGAAAACATCCAGCAGCTCTTCTTTCCTATCTCCATGGAAATTGACCTGAAATGATCCAAGTCCTATCATTGGCCATGTTTAATAACCCCAAATCTACCTGTCACCAAACACACACAGCCCACCACAGGAGGGAAATGGAAATATGAGCAACACTCATTGACAGACACACAGAATGTGCATTGAAGACCTACAGTGTATAGTTCACGTGATCACGTGTCTAAAGTTTCCATCCTCATACCACTTGTAAAGACTTCTGTCGTTTTGAACAGAATGGATGCAATGGCCCAGTATACACAAAGCAACTTTACCTCAAAAATAAATCTAAACTTTTATCCTAAGTCATATATCTGCTTGAGATCTAGGTCCAATCTGATACAGTCGTATCGGACTGACATAAGTTCCGTGTTTCTTGTTTTGAAGCAAACACAATATTTCATTGAAGGGGCAATCCGCAGTATTCGTTTTGCATTACGGACGGAATTCTGACACTTTAAAAATAAATTCTACAAAAACCATAAAAAGTACATTGTTCAAATTTGGCAGGAATATTGATAAGTGCAAGCCTAAACTTGTCACCAAAGAACTTGAAATAACATCTATTGGTTTTTGAGAAATATTGGTTATTGATCACCATTACGGACGGAAAAAAATGGACAAGCATTTTTATTAATCAACTTCAACTTCAAAACTCTGCTCTGTTTATGGCTTTTTAAAGATAAAACTGCATTGATATGACAATTTCATTATTCTAGTTACTAGAAATGTAAAAGTTTATTTAAAAAATTTTTTTTGTTATAAAATTTTGAAGTTTAAAAAATCATGTCAGATTACGGACAGAAAATTACGGACGGAAAATTTGTCCACAGTGCAAAACTTACACAGAAGCCATTAAAAAAGTACAATTAATCATTTATTCTTGGTAAAAGTTAACTATTTACTAAATACATACATAATAGGAAGTTATTTTTGATGACAACTTAAATATTTTTGTTAGCTATTTCAAATTACAAAAATCAAGTACAGTCTACACTTTCAGGAATAAGAAATTCCTTGCGTTCTGATATTGTTATTGTTTAAAATTCTGTGTTCAATGCTCATTCAGAATAGCTACATTTTAAATCTTTTTTTTATTTTCATGCTAAAGTTTAAGGTTGGTTTTTTCTGACACATTTAGATCAATTGAGAATTTGTATCTCTGACGTTGGTCCATCACAGGGAATGGTACAAGTTTGATAATTTGGTCACTGGAAATCCATGCTCTGCCTTCTTGAGAAGGAAAGGCAAACAGTTTTTTTGGACTTGTCCTTCGCTGGGAGAAAAGTTACTTGCTTGGTTTATATACCTTTTTTAAGAATAAAGACATGATTACAAAAAGATGATCAAAAGTGGATTCTACTGATCAAGGTATGTTATGATCAAAGTGGATATCAAGGTGCAAATTAGGTGTGACCAGGTAAGTAACTGTTTATCTTTACTGTTAATCTCTGAACCAGGATACAGGATAATTTCAGGTAAGTGGCACGGTGCCAGAACAAAGGCCTGGCCTCTAGTCAACTTTGATTAATTGTGGTCAGTAATTATCTTAACTGCTCATCTCCCAGGTATATGCAATGTGTATATGACAGGTAAGTGATCAAAAGCACATTTTATCTTCAAATTGCAATCAAAGTAACTGAAACACATCCAGGAGAAGCCCTGATCATAAGTGATCCTTAGGGTGCAATTCAAATGCCACTAATTGACAGGTGAGACAGATGTTGACACGTCTTGCCAGGTAAGAAAAAGCACTTTTTGACTTTAAATCCTGCATTTTTTTAATAACCTTTTTTTTTTAAATAATTTTTCAAGGGAAACAGTTCTTCTTTAGTTTTAAAATTCATAAATCAATTACTTGAGTATGCCACATGAAACCACTCAGTAGAAATGTTATAGCCAGGTAGCTGTGCCTTTCCGTCCGTAATGCTAATTTTCCGTCCGTAAAGATTTTTTATTATGAAATTAATTTGTCATCAAACATGTAAAAAAAGTTTTTTTTGGATATTTGGTAAACATAGGACTAGTATGAGGAGAATATAAAAGGAAACTTTTTTTTGCCGAGTAGTCTTTTAAAAAACTTAAAAAATAGAGCCCAAATCATTAAGGACGGAAAAAATGACTTTGGATTAATGATTAATTAACTATTTTTTAAAGATTTCACTTGATTTTTTATGTGTTTCATCATTGCTCTTCGTCCCGCGTGGGACATAAGGCCACAGTCACTTCTTTCCATTTGGCCCTGTCTCTGGCTACGTGCTTTATGTGTTTACCTCAAGGAATTGCTGTTATTTATGTCTCAATTGAAATATATTGATTAAAATTTATTTTGAGTGTCATATGCAAAAAATAAAAAATTCTGTCCGTAATGCTAATTTTCACATTTTTCAAGTTTAACGCGCTATAAAATCATGAATTCAAAAAATTCAGACAAATCTTTTACAAATTCTTATCCCCTGAAGTCTCTACTTTCAGAATATGCAACTTTTGTTTGATTTTTATACATTTGAAAATTTTATGCCCAGGACACAAATACCACGGATTGACCCTGAAACGGAATGCTACTGGTCATGCTAACATGGGTCAAAGTACACTAAAATTTTGATCAATACATTTAGACCAATTTTTGGACTTTTTTTCTTTTGTCAAACATTACAGATACCTCTACTTTACACCACATTTTATGGATTATCCATGATTAAAATAAGCTTATCTGAAACAATGTTTCTAACTCTACACAAATCTACTAGAATTATTTCCAATAATCACAACATACCCTTTTTTTAATCTTCTCCTTCATAAATGGTTTGATCATTTCAAATATAGTCCCCATGAAGGAAGGTTCGTTGAAATAATGGATTCCTTTCAGGCGTATTGGCATGCCCTCCTGCAATAAGGACAGACACAGTGGGGACTGATATCTTCCCATTTACAACTTATTCACAGGTAGACATCAACAATATTGTTCACTAAAACTTGAAAAAATTTATTAATCAAAATTCCTTCCTCATAGTTCTGCATGACATGTTTGATAAGTTTCATTTCTAAGAAAAGCTGTTGGTTCACTGAATTACTGTTAACATGGAGTAAATTGGACAAAAAACAAACTAAGTATCATTTCTCAAGAAATGTGAGATTAATTAATGAAAACCTTATTTATTTATGAAAAGTGCCAATAATTTGAAAAAAATAAATAAAGTAGCACTCATATTTTGGTCAGTCCTACCTGTATTATTGACATCAGTTTCTTAGCGAAGAAAGGATTGAAATGTTTCCCATGGTTCCAAGTCATTCCTTTAGCATCAACCAATACAACCAACCCAGACACCTGAGTCTCTTCATCCTAGTCACACCACCAGATAGAGGAGAAAGGAGAGACTTTACGAATTGACATAACATTCATTGTTTATTAAGTGTGAGAGCGATATATGCCATAACAGCTAAAGCATCAGCGAGACGTGTTCATGGCATATATCGCGAGAAGGTGACAGTGTATTATTTGACACACATACCAAGGGAAAATACTGTTATTTCATCCTAAAATACCCCTAAAAACTGAATAAAGTGACTCTATATCATGCTATTAGGAATAAACTCATCCACGTAATGGTCAGAGACATGGGTCAGCTGTTTTTTTTTTGTGAATAGCTGACCGATCCCTATCTATATAGCGCACATGACAGTCCTTCCCGTCAATTGTTCTGTCACAGCTTAGATCTACAGCACTGCGTGGATATAGCGACTTTCGATATAAGAATGGATAGCCAGTCTAAACGTAGTTATCCCTTTCTTTGGGGGACATATATGACAATGGTGCAGCCCAAAAGCAGAAAGAAAATTGTGTAAAAGTTTCGCAGCTTAACTCTGACACTTTGGAAGTTGAACTTCTGAATGCAAGCCAGGCAGCAGAGCTTTTGTATTTGGACTCAAAAAAGAAGACGCAGGTTGCCACAGCTGACACGGTGAGAGGATCAAAAATATATACCGTACATTAAATATCTGAAATCTGCAGGAAAATATGGTTTACTTATTACACTGCAAAAAAAAAAATGCACTCCACACTTGCTCTTTTATATTGCTTGTAGGTGTGACACACGTGGGTGGGGCGTGGACTGCTCTACAGATACAAGGCATATTACAAAAGTTGTTGCTGAATGTAGAATTTATAAACAATGGAAGACCAGTATTTCTATCTCAGCAACTCGTTTTGCATGTGCTTTCAGTAAATATAACATAAATGCATTTAGGTAGCTCGCACTTGTTACTTTATTCATAATTAAAAATTTGACAATTTTACCGTTGCATGATGAAGAGTAGGGTTTATCAAGACCTAGAAACAAACAATAAAATATAGGTTCAGCCTTCAGGGGTAAGTAGCGGTTTACTTCAGGTCAGCCTTTATGCCATGAGTAGGCCTACCTAGGTATAGTACACGTGAAGTAGTTATCCAAAAATATTACAATGCTTATAGTTAATTAAAATATATAGTATATACATGGTAGGGACCAACAAACCCATCCGGTGTCAAATGGGGAGACATCGCACATCTCAGTATTTAATTTAAAAATTGTAAAGAGCAGTTCATCCTCAAGGAGCCCATTCCAAGGATATCTATCTCTGGGGTCCTCTTGTTATAACTGCTTTTAATACATTTGTTTACACTAGAGGTGTTGTAGTATATCTCACAAATAAATATACCTCATTTTGATTAAATTTTAATATTTTTTCAGTTATCTGAGAGGTTTTCCTTCATTTCAGATCAGCAGGTGGATGCTATTGTACAGGATTCCATCCCTCAGAATACCAGACAATGTAATTTCTGGGCTTTTAATTCATTCGAAAAGTGGAGTATCGCAAGGAATAATAAACATATTTTTGACAGACAAGGGAATGGCATTAATGAAGACCAGTATAATAAAATGCTGTGTCCCATAGAGCAGATGAATGTGGATCTACTTAACTACTGGGTATCTAAGTTTATAGTTGAAGTTCGTAAGGAAAATGGAGAAGAATATCCACCGAACTCCATTATGTCATTGGTGATGGGTTTGCAAAAGTATCTAAGAGTAAAAACTCAGAAGCCCATTAACTTTTTGGAATGCCCAGATTTTAGCCGGATCCGTTTAGTACTGCACGCTGAGATGAAAAGATTGACAAGAAAAGGCATGGGAAGAAAAAGTAAGACAGCTGAGCACATTCAGGCTGAGGACGTAGAAAAATTGTGGAAAAGTAAGCAGTTAGGTGGTCGAAAGTATATTTTTTTTCAACAGATTACACTTTGGTCTAAGAGGAGGACAAGAATAAGATGAATTTAATCCAACTGAATCCTGTTTTAATCCAAGTCAAATAGCTCTACATGAGCCCACTGGAAAACCAGCATGTTTGAAGTATACTGAGGATTGTTCCTAAACTGTCCGAGGGGGTTGAAACACAGACAGATAAGTAATAAAAAGGTTGTTCATCATGCCAACATGAAGTGCCCCGACAGATGCCACGTGCACTTATTCAAGCACTTTATGGAATTGTGTCCAACCACAGGTAAGGTGTCTTAAAAGACTACTAGTATAGGTAATAATTTTAACTTCAAAGTTCACTTAATGCAGTTCGATCAACAACTGCACATATTGCTTGGGCAATTTACTGGTCTGGTTAATGGTAGCCACAAGAAGGACACCCAGTCAGATACAAAGGTAGCCACAAGAAGGACACCCAGTCAAATATAATGGTAGGCACAAGAAAAACACCCAGTCAGATATAATGGTAGACACATAAAGGACACCCAGTCAGATATAATGGTAGACACAAGAAGGACACCCAGTCAGATATAATGGTAGACACAAGAAGGACACCCAGTCAGATATAATGGTAGACACAAGAAGGACACCCAGTCAGATATAATGGTAGACACAAGAAGGACACCCAGTCAGATATAATGGTAGACACAAGAAGGACACCCAGTCAGATATAATGGTAGACACAAGAAGGACACCCAGTCAGATATAATGGTAGACACAAGAAGGACACCCAGTCAGATATAATGGTAAACACAAGAAGGACACACAGGCAGATATAATGCTTCTTGGTGTTCACCATTAGAGCAATGAAGTGCTAATACTATCAAATTAAGTTGGTCTTCCAAGCAAAACATGAGGTAAACCACGCACGACTTACCTGTATGATTTTCTCCAAATTAAGCAGCTGAGTGCGCATTACGTCCGTCACAGGGTATCTGTCTGGGTCCCAGCGACCTGAAATTATCAAAAATTATATATCAGTTCAAATACATGTAAATCTGAATTGAAAAGATCTGACACTGAAAATGGTTTGTTGTGTATTTTTTTAAAAATGATCCAGCTAAATAAAAAGTTGGCAAATATGGATACAGACAATCTTTAACAGTGGGAGAGAGACAAACTATTAAAAACAGTAGTATACAAATGCCGGGGCTTTGACATTGCTACACTCAACCCCATTGTGTAAGAGCCAGAGGCAAGCCTTATCACCAGTCTACCAAGATATGCCAGCATATCTCATATCACATCTCACATTAGTGTAGCATCAAAACACTGGCTGTTATTAACTTTACTGTATAAACATTGACAAGACAGACGGACATACATACAGACATACAGACAGATATAGATTTTTCTAGATGAATTCAATGAATTCTAAATATTCGTGCAATGTATGAATCAGTAGCTGGGGTAGTAAATCAAGCAGTGTCAGCCATGGGGCACCAGTTTCCACACAGCTCATAACATGTTTATGACAGATTGACAAGTAACTGCAGGCTTTAGGGTTTTATAAGTAGTAAATAATTTTACCAAGCTATATCCCCTTTGAACACAAGATCTGAAATTTACCAATATTTATTATTATTATTATTATTATTCCTGCTACAATTTAAAGTTGATAAGATGGATGAAAAACAACACATATACAGACCAGGTCACCGTAACAGATTACCCATTTTGTATATTAATTGTGCATCTACATAATTTATATATATATATATATATATATATATATATATATATATAGACCCCCCCCCCACATCCACACACACCCAAACACAAACTTAAGGTTATCTTACGTCATAATTAGTTGCTTATTGTAATACGCACACACATATACACATACATGTACTGTATATAAACACACACACACACACACACACACACACACACACACACACACACACACGAGTAGTGTGCTTGATTTTTGAGCTGCCTGGTTTTTGAGCTCCCATTCTTTTTGAGTTATTTATTTTTGAACTCATTTTGGTCTTATTGTATATCCATTATTTTATGTAAATGATTTAATTTGTAATTTTTCTTCTTATCCAGTTTATTTACAACTTCGACTTTGTGGTTGCTATGTATTAATTAACTTTTTATTATTATTTTTATTATCATTATTATTATAAACACACACACACACATACCCATTCTTAATAGAACAATTCGTCTCCCAAGCTTGTCTTTACAATCCAGCACATTGCTTACTCCAGCCTCAAACATGTGCTTCAGGTTCAGTGGTGTAAAGTTCTCAAAGATGTCCGGGTTCTCCTTCCTCTTCTTGAAGTAGTTCAGCAGCAGATCAAATGCCCTCTGGTGGTCAAATTTACGAGCTCGTAAGAAACGCAGTAGGAATGCATCGTCTGTTCTGCACTTCAAACCTGAGGAAGATTTTTTTAATGATTTTTTAAAAATTGATGAATTTCAACTCAAATTTTGTTTACACAAAATAATACTGATCGATATATCATTATTTCTATTTCATCAAAATACACAAGTCTCAATCATTCCTTCAATTTACCAACACTCATGTTGAGAGTATTGAATTAATTATCAACTTAGAATTTAGAATGAATTATGGCCGTTCTATTTTTTTTTTCATGTATAATTAAAATGAAAATGGAAATGAAGTGTCTTTAAGATGAAGCTTTTAAATGAAATCATTAAAACAGTCACTACAATAAGCTATGGAAATCAATGAACCATTGTAAAACACTATCCCCCATATTCCCACTAGCATACTGGTATATGATATCAGAAATAAATCAAATTATACTGTGCAAATATCCACAAGTTGATGACAAATACAATACTGTGTATCACATTCAGAAGGATATAACACACTTTATGATCATGCTTGCAACATGTCAAAGTTTAATACCTGCAGGTACATTTGTTTTTTTTTTTTTTTTTTTTATTTCTTGTGAAATTCTTGTTTACAGCTAACAGATCACTTGTTAATGTAGATCCTTCTGAATTCTCAGACACATACACTACTGATCTGCAAACATGACACAGCAAGCTGTCAAATGTACATACAACAAGACAGCAAAACTGGCAAATGTACAGACAAAAAAGAAAAATGTAAAATAATAATGATAGTGCACAAAACTGTAATAGTTTTTTTGTTAATTTGATGCAATATTACTTAATGATTAACAGCTGATTTACAGCATAATTTCCACCAATATTTAATTTAATATACTACAGGTGATTTGGACATTAAGAAAACATTACTAGCAAAGACCTTCAGTTTCATGGTATTTCAAAGTCACACACTGAAAATACCAATAAATACATGAAAAATGAACATTTCACCAAAAAAAAGCATAGACTCGCCCTTCAAGAAATCGACGCCTTCAAGAAATCGACGAAAACCGGAAGTGCTTGTTTTTTGCACTGTTTTTCCTGTCATGCCCATCGTAAACACTGTGTTGTCAAGTAAAATGAAGCGTCTGATACAAAGTATCAAACGCGGCATTCACGTGCTTGCTTGCGATGCGTTCAGTACACTTTGCTTACACTGACAAGCCGAGGTCAGAAATGCATAATGTTTTTCTATGTAATTACGCAGTTTCAATTTTGATTAGTGAATTTTCTTTTATCTGCATGGTCATTTTCCGAACATTTGTATAAGCTACGAAATATTTCTCATCGGAAAATCACCCAGCAGCTTTCCAAGTACAAGCGAGTGACATCATGACGCACTTCCGGTTTTCGTCGAGATCTTGAAGGGATTAGCGTTATGGTTTGCTGCACATTTAAAGCGTTCTGTCTCAAAATGTACTCAACTGCTTGGATTGAAATTTACAGAACTTTTTCTTCACATGATATCACACATATGTACTTAATTTGAGAGCTTTAGCTGGGCTAGAGCACAATATGCCACGTATACTTTATATAAACTTGTTGATCAACTGATTGCAATTTTACCTTCTAATCAATCAATTTAATCTGTACCAAATAGCTAACTATACATTTCCCTGGTGTGGAATCACATCAAATTTGTACAGATACATGTATGATGAAGAGTAGGAGCCACCCAGGGTCCAAAGGCAAACACTCCACCACCTGTCTAATGATGTCACCTGGAGATCCTTGTTATATGTATGGCATATTGAGGACAATGAAAGATGGCACATAGCAAGGATTTAATTATTACTATTATTATTATTAATATTTTGCAGGTTTTCCAAATTTGTAAAATTCCTATGTGCCATAAACTTTCGGGTGTGCATTACTCCATTATTGAAAATAGTAATGGGCTGAAAATAGTAATGGTTGAAAGCTGATCAAATAACTCGAGCTCTTTACCTCAGATGCTAGCAATCACCATTTTAATGGCTACATTACAAAAATCACAGCTTAATGCTTCTCAGTTTCATTATTCTAATCAAAAAAGATCAATCAATGTATTTCACCAGTAGGCTTATAAATTCTAAACAAAACTCAAAAAGGACATCATTAACATGAATGCAATTACTGCCAAAAAGTTCTCAATAATTATTTTGCAATTACAACAATTTTCTGGCTCAAAACTAGCACCTTCTCAGTATTCTCTTAAAGCTGTAGGAATGAAGGGCATCACTGTGGCTATGGGCAGCCTGCTTGATATACAGCTGACAGCAGATTAACAACCACTTGGTTTTTAACCAGCAACTTCATCCTTCCATATACATGTCATATCTTTAAATAATATGAACACATGTTATGACTTTAGCATTAAGGATAATTTGTGGTCTTTACATCATGCGTGGTATGCAATGCATTGTTAAATAATGGCGCATGTACAAGTCAACACCACTATTTCCCATTAATTAAAACTTTTGTGTCCTAATTTCAAGGCAGTGGAAGACGCCACACATTGTAAAACATGCATAAGCTCTTAATTGTGAGAAATTACACCCACAATATTACTCAGAAATTAGTTGGGCAGTGGTGTTACTCTTAGTGTTTTCTAGCTACTAAATAATTCCATCCAGACAGTAATGGCTACCTGTATATTTGTTGACCATGTCTCTGAGTGCGGCCACGTCCTTGGCTCTCCACTCAGGGTCCTCATTCAGTTCATTCTTAGCCTTGTCTTGGAGCTCTGGGGTCAGTGTACACTGGTAAGGGGCTGTGGACATCTTGGCTCCTGAACCTGAACAAATATGAAAAATTTGTTACATATTATCACTGAACATGAATAATTGGAGAGAGAGAGAGAGAGAGAGAGAGAGGGAGGCAGGCCACACTCACAACCAAGTTGATCCACAGTCAAACAGATCCACAAATCAAATATGGCCAACCCAACTGAAAGACTAGTCCACTTAATCCCTGTGTAGTGGGAAATCTATTCAGTGTCTATTAGGAGATTGTGCAGCAAGCTTCCAAGTGGGTCATGTGGCAGTGTCTGGTCAGGTAACAGATCCTTGAATCAAATATGGCTGACCCACTTTGAAGCTTGCTGCACATTCCCCTAAAACAGTGATGGAGAGATTGACAGTGTTTGGGTCCAAACTTTTTAGATCACATTATTCAGATGACAATAATTCTAATTTCGTGCTCTCCAAATAAGAAATTATGCGAGTATAAATTAATACATGTAGCTGGTTCCACACCGAAAAAAAAAAAATTAATAATACCTACATGAAGCTTGTACTTGTAGTTATCATGTGAATGCTCAGTTTTGTTTGTTGATGTTGGAAGTTAAAACATTATTTTGGTGTATCTTTTAAAATTATTTTGCGCACGGTAATCGTTTTATTTGACAGTTATTAGAAGAATACACATCTGAGATGTGCTCATGATCATTTTGGCAAAATAATTTATAAATACAATATTTCTGGACATGTATTTCTGCGTGTTTACCGATATATACATGTAGTAATAAAATAAACATTATATACTAGACTAGTACTGTTCAAAGCACTAGAGCTAAAAGACGTGAAATGAAAGAGCATGACGAGCATACAGAACGCTGAGGCACGCCACACCGTATTAATGGAGTTTACAATCAAAAGGGTCAAATTCCGCTTTATCCGACCACACAGTTTACCCTTGCACTGGCTACCGGGGGAATGTAGAGGTAATTCATCACGTACTGTACAGCTAGTACGTGACGATTTAATATTGCTACTAAAACTTCTCTGACTTCAACATACAGTTTGCAAATTCACTCTTAGTTTAAGATTCAGGATCAGTAAATACTCTCTTGCAATGTAGATATTGTAAAACAATATTAACAGAACCTACCTGAGCCACCAATATTCACCTGGGAAATCTAAACAGGAAATGACCTTGCTAAAGGTCAGCTGGGGATATCTGTGGAACTAGGTCACCAGTGTCAGTCGCCCTATTTTTTTAATATTAAAATACAGACATCGATAAAGTACCGCAATCCACGTGTCAGATACAAGACTTGAAATTATGCAATAAAATATTGAATTAAGTCTTAATTTCATAAGTGTTGTTTTGATGCTGTCTCAACCATGATTGTGACGGACTCTACAGATTTCACCAGATTGTGCTTGAGAAGACAGGACGCGACTTGGAGGGGGGGGGGGGGGGGCAGGTGTCCCGTGTGATTTTTTTAGATTAGATTTAAATATAGTCAAACTAAACTGTACAGTTGCCTGCAATTTATTTTACTGTACACTCTCTCTCTCTCTCTCTCTCTCTCAAAGGGTGGTAGGGTAAAAGGCACATGTGGCAAAACAGCCTTAATTTTTCCCCCTTTTCGTTTAATTTGTAATAAGCCTACTCATTTTATTATAAGTGCAATATCAATAGACACCTCTAGATAACCAAATCCTCTTTTTATTGTTGTATTTAACAAAACGCTCACTGCTGCAATTAGATAGGGTGTGATCAAGCGTTTATCAGCAGTGTTGTTGCTTTTTAATTGGTGTGAGATATATAGTGATCGCTTTACCTAAGTAGGACACTATCATCAAAACTGGCATGGTTGACCAATAGATTGTGAACTACAATCCAGAGCCAGCGTTTTTATTTATTTATTTATTTATTTATTTATTTATTTATTTATTTATTTATTTATTTATTTGTTTATTTTTATTTAGAAGGTTACGAGGTTTCATAGAAGAAAGGCATTATTTCGCATCTTTACCGATAAAATCAGAAAACCCTTTTAAATCGATTTTTCATTTACGCAGCTGCAGTAAACACAGTCACCACACTATTTTTTAATGCAACAGAATTTCTTCCTCATAACATACCGTGTAAGACCCCTACAATGCTTATTTTTGTACTAGACCTACATAAGCGGATAAGAAAAAAAATCATCGAACCCCGCTAAAGAAAAGGCCATTGATAATGATGACATATTTCTTCAGTTTAAGAGTAAATGCCGTCAACCAACCTCTACAGCAAGTTAGCTAAAAACAAAATATATATTTTTTAAAAGAATAAGAGACGCAGACAAAATAACTGGTCGACATACTTGTAATTTAATGCCTTGATATGAATTTTGGACTCACTGGACTTTTCAGTGAAATAGAAACTATAAAAATGCTGAATTCCATTTCATTTAAGTTCATAAGGTTGCAGGGACGGATCCAGGATTATTTGAAGGGGGGTGCGGTTTTTTAGGAATGACAGGCCTCGGATGC